GGTGACCCTGCACAGGGTTTTCGTGGCTGTATATATTTATGGGAGCAGAAAGCCTCATCTTTCTCCTGCAAACAGCTGGTAGTTTCCAACTGCTGACCTTAAGATGAGCAGCCCGATTCGTAACCATTGAGGTTTAGTAGGGAAATCTCCATCAGTAGCAATTGAAAATGTTTATAAAATTGCTTCTGTACACTGATAGCTTTTAGAGGGGCCTGGGATTTGTGTTGTGGTTTTGTTATTGTATTTGTCATTATGGAGACGCATAGGCAAATTAGTGTGATTTTTAAGGGGTACGGCAGATCAAGGTTGTTGTTGTTGTTGTTGTTAAGTGCCGTCGAGGATCAAGGTATATTCTTACATTTCCAAATTTATTTTTTCAATTTAGCTTTTATGTAATCCACCATTTTGGCAATTTGACTTCTTGGTGGTAATTTATCATTTCATCTTTTTAGTAGGTTTGGTGACATAAAGGATAAACTTTAAAACTAGAATAAAATTATTTAGAGTGGCTCAGATACATTTATAAGGCCCACTCAAACACTTACTGTTTTATGTCAGAGCCTGGTGGTACACTTGGTTAATTTGGGGGCTGTGAAGTGCTAGGTTAGAGCTTTAAATACCACCAGCAGCTCCATGAGAAGACATGGAAGCTGTCGGCTCCCATAAATAAACATCTAGTCTCTGAATCCTTTCAGGAGTAGTTCTGCTCTGCCTATGGCTTGCTATGAGTTGGAATTGACTCATTGGCTGTGGGGTTTTATGTATGTATATATACATATGTATGATACTTAAAGAGTATTGTAAAACGACTTCAACTATAGCCAAAATGGCTCACAAGTAGGCCTGGGAAAAAAAGCTTCAGAACCCACTTTGACCAAGTACAGTCTTAAAATGTCCACATTCCTCATGGGGATTACAACCAGTAGTCTAGGGATGAAATTTGAGTTTGGGACTCTGAATACTAACTTCTCTATTTGCTTGGTTTTGCTGCATCTTTTCCTGATTTAAGATTACGTACAGGGAAGACCCGTCAAAGCGCGTAGTGGAGCGAACCTGTACTCGAGTAATTAACAAGGCCACCCCGACCCTGCCTGCTGTCTCCGTCTCATCGAGCACTGAGGTTTGACTTCAGCTCTCCACACGCCTCTCAGAGAACTCCGGACTCACAGCTACTCTCATGGAAGAGAAAGATGGATTTAATTTATTTGAAGTTTTTATGGTGTTATTAATTAGATATCTATATGTATATATGGCTTTAAAAAGTTCATGAGAAAATGGGATTAAAAGATAATGGAAGTTTTCCAGGAACTTTTTGAAGCCTCTTCGTGTGTACGTATATATATATAATGGTCTTCAAATGGAATTGAATGATCATGGATTTTCCCACAGACTTTTAGAAGCTTATATACACACACACACATTTGTTACCTCGCTAGCTTGAGAATTCTGCCAGCCTCCAGATTTGCACAGTCTCTGTAATGTTTTTCTTTAAGCAGCATTGAGTAAGCCAAGCTGAATATTTGCCCTGAAATTCCCAGGACTGTTTGTAGCTCGAAAGCGAACCCTATGTTTGCTTGTTGTCAATGATTACATGTTCAATGCCAAGTCCTAGGACACATATTTTAAAGGTCAAAGTGAATGTTTTTGTAACATGTAAATAGAAGATTGTAAAATATATGATTTTTATCAAATGAAAAAGAACTTTTTTTAGTTAAAACCTATGACAGTACTAAAATTATATGATTAATATTTCAGATACCATGATATTAACCTATTTGTGTATGTGTACAAAAGTGTTGATAAATACCAATCTTTAAAGTTTGTGGGGTTTCTTTATTTGTAATATATGTCTCTTCAGAACAATGGGATGTGAAATTATGGAATTATTTTGTTGTTATTAATAGAAATAAAAAATACACTTACTTTGCATTTGGTTCCCTCCTAAAAGGTGGGTAAATTAATTAGTTGCTAAAAGTGGTTCATTTGAACATCTATTGAGTTTAATTCTTTGCTCAATACTTATGATATTTTATGGAGAAATCAGGCAAAAAAAAGCCCTCAAAAAGTCAGCTGGGAAGCTCGTGCACACGTCAACTAGACAGGCCAGTAGCATCCATATCTTGGAGCATATTAGAATGATTAGGAAAGAGGTAATAAATTCAAATCTTGGGAGTTTGGGTTGAGATTAGAACTCTTCACAGATATTCCAATTCTGCACTCTATAAATCCCAGAGGACTCGCACTTTCCCGCCTCCTGTGACATTAGGCAGGACTAAGGTGTGACTCCTGGCCAACACAGCATGAACGGCCATCCTCCTCTGTTCGTGAAGACTCGTGTGTTGCTGTGACATGGATCAAGTTTCAGCGGAGCCTCCAAAATAAGACAGAGTACAATAAAGACCTAATGATTGACTCCTAAAAACAGCCATGGACAGCACTATGGATCCTAATGGTCCATCCATGACTGAACATGAAGATTCGGTACAGGGCCGGACAGCCTGTTGGCCTGCTGTGTATGGGTCATCAAGAGTCAGGTCTGCTCAAAGGCAGCTAACAACACAGAGGTCTGCTCAACGGCAGCTAACAACAAACAAATAGGACTTGCTTCAACCAATAAAATGTGCACAGAACTGACGTAGGTCTCTTTCAGGCAATAACTTTAAAGCACTAAATGGTTCATCCCAATCTTCCTCTAATGCAGTTATCTTTGAAGCCTGTATCCCTCTGAATTCCTGAGTGACCACAATGAGCAAAGCCCCTAACATCACTAAACCTTGTTTGATGTGGTGGTGGTGTGCCGTGGAGTTGGTTCTGACTCATAGCGACCCTGTACTGGGTTTCCGAGGCTGCAAATCTTTACAGGAGCAGAAAGCCTCACCTTTCTCCCGCGGAACAGTTGGTAGTTTCGAACTGCTGACCTTGAGGTTCACAGCTCGATTTGTAATCACTACGCTCCCAGAGCTTCTGTTGATGTATATTGTTGTTGTTGTTGTTAGGTGCCATCGAGTCGGTACTGACTCATAGCGACCGTATGCACAGCAGAACGAAACACTGCCCGATCCTGGGCCAACCTCACTACTGTTGCCACACTTGAGTCCATTGGTGTTGCCAGTTGGCCAATCCATTTCATTGGGGGTCTTCCTCTTTTTCTTTGACCCTCCACCTTTGATGTATATAGCCTGCATGAAAAATATACGTGCAAAGTCCATAAGAATCAGGGATTGTTATTGCAGAGTTATTAGCTAATCCTAGCAGATCTGTATTTTATCCAAGCTGAGACCACTGACAGGTTCCACCTGCTGCCATTTCTTCCCTCAGAAACCTAAAGCAACTGTGCAGCTGAACTGGCCTGTTCTAGGTGCAGAAAGCAAGCAAGAGAGTATGCATCTCGGATCTATCCTCTGTGGCCGGTCCAGAATTTCCACCCTCAAAGAAGAAACACATAGCTGAGTTTTCTCTTTCTACTAGGTAATTCACTGGCCGGTATCAGCACATCAGAGAAACAGGGAGGAAGGCACGTGGAACACATATTTAAGTGTAAACACAGAATTAATAAAAAGCGTATTTTAAATGAGAGCTCTGATCCTTCAAGACTCATTTAGCAGTTGTTAAGTTTCCCCGAAGTCCTGGTGTGGTGCTGTGGGTTAATGTGCTGGACTACAAAGTCAGTTCGAGCTGCAAGATCAGCGGTTCAGGCTCACCAGGTGCTCCTCAAAAACCCTAAATAGGGTCGCTATGGGTTGGAATCGACTTGGCAGCACTTAACAACACAACAACCAGTTTCCCCAAAACAGAGCCCACTTCTTTATTTTAAAAAGTAACTAAAAGGAAAATTTCCTTTGATGAGCTGATCACGAGGGCAGGCCCTTCCTGGGCCTTAGCATCTCAGTGTCTCAGGCCTCTTGGGCAAGTCTGGTTTCTGCCCTGCTGAAGCAGATGTTACAAAGCTTTTTAGCTCCAAAGGGCCCAAAGAACTTCACTGCATCTGAAGGCACTTGGCTCTTCTTCAATAGGAGAAGCTTAGCCAAGCTTCTCTGGCAGTCTTCCATCTCTGCTGTCTCTGTCTGATGCCACTGCTTCTCATCTCTCCTTGTCTCCAGTGTTACAGCTCTCTCCCTCTGGCTCCTCCACCTAGGAGGTTCTCAGTACAGGAAACTCAGGTCTGAAAGAGACATTTCACAAGCGTCATGAGTTCCCCCTTCCCACCTCTGGGATGACTCATTTCAAGCCTCATAGGATGGAAAAATTGGCCAATCCTCTTTCAGGGTCCCATACACCTTATTTAAAGAGTTCTGGTAGCATAGTGGTTACAAGTTGGGCTGCTAATCTCAAGGTCAACAGTTCAAAACTATCAGCGGTTCCATGGGAGAAAGATGAGAATTCCTGCTCCTGTAAAGACTTCAACAGCCTAAGAAACTGACTCCACAGCACATAACCACCAACACAACCACAACTTATTGCATGGTCTGTAAGATAGTGTAGTGGTTACAACTCGGGCTGCTAACCTCAGGGTCAGCAGTTTGAAACTACCAGTAGTAGCTCCACAGAAGAAAGATGAGGCTTTCTGCTCCCATAAAGATTTACAGCCTCAGAAACCCTGTACAGGGTCACTATGAGTCGGAACCGACTCCACAGCACATAACCACAACAACAACACCCCCATAAGATGTTGCACTGTGGGTTAATGCAAAAGCTGTTTGAACTGCAAGGTCAGTGGTTCAAGCTCACCAGCGGCTCCTTGGAAGCTCTATTCAGGTTCGCTATGGATCGGAACCAACTTGACAGCACTTAACAACAACACCTCCATAAGATGGAGTTCTGCTGTGATGCTGTAGGATAAGCCCTGGACCGTAAGGTCAGCTTGAACTGCAAGGTTAGCAGTTCAAACCCACCTGTCGCTCCTCTGAAACCCTATACAGGGCTGCTCTGAGTTGGATCTGACTGAATGGTCCTGGTGTGGCACCACAGGGCAAGTGCTGCACTGCAAACTGCAAGGCTGGACATTCAAACCAACTAGCCAGTCCTTGGAAACCCTATACAGGGTCATTTTGAGTCAGAACTGACTCAATAGCACTTAATAACAACAACCACACCTATAAGGAGTCCTGGTATGGCACTGTAGGATAAGTACTGGACTGTTAACTCAGGGTTGGCAGTTCAAACCCACTAGCTGCTCCTCAGAAGCCTTGTATGGAGTCCCTATGAGTTAGAACCTTCTAGACAGCTCTTAACAACAACAAAAACCCCAAAGGGTGCCATGCTCCTTATTTACATTATTAGCAAGTTCTCTAGTACCCTCAGTAAGCCATGAACATCTCATTTGCATGGTCCCACCCCTTATTGTTGGAAGTTTCAAAGACTATGGCTAGAAGAGTCATAATTCATTTTACTACATAAGAGTTGATGAAGATCCATAACTGAAAATATATTGTTGAGTGTTTAGTTCATGGTGACGGTCTTAAGGACTTTTCAATTGCAAGAATTACCTTGAGAAAACATGTAAGTATTGATAACGGAGGAGCTGGCTTCAGACATTACTAGAGCTCTCTGTTAGTCAACTTTCAACTACGATTGTCCTTGTATTGGCTTTGTTCTCAGGTTCTTTCCAAAGCCAAAACCAAACTCACTGTCTTCATGTCAATTCCAACTTTCAGAGACCCTGTGGTGGTGGTGACTGTGTGCCGGTTCTGACCCATAGCGACCCTGTTCAGGGATTCCGAGGCTGAAAATCTTTACAGAAGCAGAAACTCTCATCTTTCTCCCACAGAACATCTGGTAGTTTTGAACTGCTGACCTTGAGGTTTGCAGCAGCGATAGTGAGGTTG